CTTGGGCGTGAAAATGGGCCAATGTGCTGGAAATTTCACATAGGGCATATGGTCGTACCACACAGGATCATGCAAGACAAGCTGACGATAGCGAAGACGCCAGTTATCTCCAACTGACTCATTCTTGTCGATGATGAGAGAATCCACACCTAGCATCTTCAGTCTCGCAGCAGCTGTCAAACCACCCTGTCCGGCACCTGCAGAACGATGGTCAGCGATGGTCTCCTATTGGCAAGGAGTAAAATCTTACCGATAATAATCACGGTCGGTTCACGGTTGTCAGTGTAAGCAGCCGAATCAGCCCGTCTCTCGGCCCAGTTCTTGCGGTCTGGGTGGTCTCCATGTTGCGCTCCCTTTGGTCTTCGATGTCCAAGAAGCTCCTCGTGGCCCTTCAGTTCTTGCAGGCCAGTGAATAAAGTAAAGATTTTCCACACATCACCTTGCATTGCGAGGCGTGCGACTCCGACGGCAGATCCGTGAACTGTTTCTGCCTCGAAGAAGAACTGGATGCCCTGGACTTCGCCAGCTCCATCAAGCACGCACGCCTTGGGGGCGCGCACAGAGGAGCTCCGATCAACTGAAATTCTGCGGAGTCGCATGCCCTCTCTGGACTCAGAGCATCTCTCCAAGAACTTCAAGATAGCCTCATGGCCGTGCACGGTTCGAAGTTGCCAGGATAAGGCTAGGTGGTCACGCCAAAAGCCATTGTCCGTAAACAAGCTTGTAACTTTGGGGTAGTTGTGTTGGTCGAGGGCGAGATTGAAAACATCGACTAGGTCGGACGCAACCCGCTCTGGATCGAAGGTGCCGACTTTCGATGGTGCTGGGAGACGTGCCGGTGGGATGTTGAATGAACCCGGCACAGTACGAAGGTGCGAGGGAACACTCTGCTGGACGTCTATTCTGGCCATAGTGGAGTACCAGTGGACAATGAATGGATAAGTTGGATGTCGGTGATGATCAGGAGAAGCTGAAATTGGTCATGTTGCAAGGAACGTTGTGGAAAGTAGGCTGGTCAGAATATATACATACGTCTGGTCTTCCCGGCTACTCGATCGAGCCGACCCATTCCGCCGTGCCGTGTTTGATCCTGAAAGAAGCGGGGGACTTTGATCTGCTGTGTGCAAAGACTCCGCGCTCCCCAAGTGAGGAGAATTTACTGAGGGGTAACTCTGGGGAGGTGGCCATTGTCAGGGATAGAGCGCGGCTCCGACATTTACACTTTCGGTTCCCGGCAGTGGTTGCTCTTCATCCAATGAACCCCGGGCCGACGCCAAGATCTTAGAGCTGATTGGTAAACTCCTGTAACGTCATTTGATTACGCCGCATACTACGGTTTGCATATTTTACCCCGCTGACTTCAAAGAGACATTCAATGCATCCTGTTGTCCGACATGCTCAAGCATGGTGGCTTTACAAGTATGCAGAGACTTTCTATGTCGGAAGCGGACGGAACCGTCTCCGTACCCCGGACCCGATATGGTAGACTTATTTTCCCAGCCAATCCATCCGCTCTACTCTATGGCTTTTGTCAGTCTACATCAAAAGGATTACCGCGTCGGTAAATAATTCATTGCAGTGGTTGAGCGGAGCCGAACTTCTGAAGCTTAGCGTTAAATCGGAATAGCTAAAGCGCATTCACGCAATGGATTTGACGTCGAGGGTCTGCAATATACCCCAGACAATGGGTAGGCTGAAGCGTCACATCACCTGATATTGTAATACGTCGGAGTATATTCATGAATACCGAGGAGATCTCTCCCAACAGGCTGACAGCGAATTCTCTGAGTTCAAAAGCTTCCACGAATACTCTATAATCACACGTTCATTTCTAGCAGTAACCATACCCCAAGAGCACTCGGTAGAGAGGGGTTATGTTTGCAAAGGCGAGGGAGGGAATGCCACGCTATACCAATGACCTCCAACACTTGGAACGTGGGGAAGCCGCATCCCCATAATTTAATCCTCGTATTGGCCCCGGTGACTAGTTCCTGATGCAAAGCGCTATCACAGGCTTTGTGATGAGCTTGACTCCTTTATTATGCTCCATTATGGGTTGGAGATGGGCAAGTCATGATGGTAATGCTCACATGGAAATGATGATTACCTACTGTCTCTTCAAATATGGATGTCGACCCATGACAATATAGAGGTTACTACATATTTTTTTCTCGGGGGCATTCTGTTGCTCATTGTTGGAGTATTGGAGTCCATAATTAGTAGCACATTTTGTTTCCCTTTTTTTGTTCTTCTTTCAGTTATTTTGACACCATTAGATGCTATCAGGTTGACAGGCGCGTGTCAATGCTCATTGATGATGACCCAACATCTAGGGTGCTTTCTATGTCGCGCTCGCCACAACCTTACAGCCGCTCTACGACGCATGACACCTACTCTCTCTCGCCTAGCGATCCTGCGGCCAGGCTCGAGACGGAGAGCCTCATTGCTAGTCTTGATTCTGAAACTTCCACTCACGCGTTTTCCCCGTCGTTTTTCTCTCAGAACAAGATTCGGATCACATTGGAATGCTATCTAGAATTCTTCTTGGTTCTTGTCAATCTTTTTTGCTGCTTCCCCTGGATATGTTATTTTCGGAGTAGTTTAGTCACTGTTTAGATATTATTCACAGTGGTCATTAGCGTTAGTCTTCTGATTGCACGTTATTCCAAGTTAGCAATACAAGAGACCGCAATTGCTCTGAAGGTTCAAGTTGCGAGCCTGTCCCTACCCTGCTGACGAGCTGTGGGAGTCTAGTTATTGACGCTTGCGATCTCAATTCTAGGGCAGAGGGGCTATTCTTTTCGCAGCCTGTGTCGGCGGGTGGTACCTATTGCTTTCTATGTTGCTGGCAGCTGTGGACTTCCCCTTGTCGCTCCCGTCGGTTGACCTGTCTCATCTCGTTCCCGGATGATCTCAATTAAAGGGGTCGGGGGAAGAGAGATCCTAGCGTTGAATGGCCCAAAATGGGCAGTTTCTAGCTGAGGTTCAAAGCTCGGATTGATCGTCGAAACAGTGATCGAAATAAAAGATCGTCAATATTATGCAGATCAATGTGAGATAAGGCCGGGGGGGGGGGAAGGTTAGGTGATTGAAAATGTCTTTAATGCCTGCAAAACGATGAATTGATTTCACTGACTCGCTCAAGTCTATTTTGGGCATCTTGTATAACGAATTCCGATCCTTGAAACCACTGCCAGCCTCGCAAAGGTTTCTTATTCCAGCAAGTAGAGCATCTCTAGAAAAGGCGGTCTGGCCTCACCGGCACGCTGTTTGCAGACGGCTGAACGTGAACCCACCAAGTCTATTGGCTTGTTGAATCGTCGCAGCTACCAACCCATCAGGATCTACTTTGTCCTTCTCTATCTGCCTGCTCCTTGAAGGTGCATTACGCGAATCCGCCTGAGTTTGTTGCTCCTACTCCGTATATCTTCTTAGTCTCAGGAAATAGTTGAAATCTAGACTTGAAAAAGCTGTAATGTCCGGAGTTTCAATAACCAAGGTGGTGTGGACCCCGGCCTCGCGGACCCTGGGGCCTTGGCATCAGGGATCCTTTCACGTGATGAGCGGAACCGATCGATACCAACTTTCAGCGGCAGCCCAGAGCCGACCCTCCGCCATCTTCTATTCCGCGCGTCCGGGAATCTGGACGCTGTACTCCTTGCGAGGCCTTCGAAGTCACACTACCGGAACCCTTAAAAGCCAGAGTCTGTGCACCGCGGACTTCATCTTCCCAGCACTACTCGGGACTCATACAATTATCATCAGCTTCTAGGATGTCCTACCTGTGATTAACTTCCTAATACCATCAGAGGTGATTGAAGGCAAAGTTTAAGCCCCGCAGAGTACGGAGTAGTGTACCTTACGCGGCCCAATAGGGGCAGTGCAAAGATGTTCGCTCTATCATTGTGTATCAAGCAACACGGCGTCATAGGTCTGTGTTCATTTTCTTTTCGTAAACGACTATCCGTACGGAGCATTGATAGCTTAGCTACCGGGCTCTAACTGCTTTGTCAAGTCACGAACTCCTGATTGTTGGATATGCTGTTTTGGTAGGGAGTTTACTCGATCCTCTGGGTCGCCGGTTTATCTTTTCCCGTTATCTGAGAAGGCAAATGGGTGCTGGACAGCAATTACCTTGGATTGATTTTCACTACTCGCTATCGATCTATCGACTTAGACTAAGGCGTGCTGCGCCAGCGTCCCGGACTCGTTGCGGGGTGCAAATGCGAGGTCCTGCAACACGCCAAGTAGCCCGGTCGGCACGGAGTACGGAGTCGTAATTACTGTATTAACAATAGGCTCTCGGTTGAACAAGAGTGGAGATGATTTGTAAAACGTCAATTGATTGGTGGTGCGGAGAAGTCTGCTCACTACCGAATACCTATCGAGGTAACGTATTTCCCGGTCGAGCCGCCCACCCCAAAACACCATATTAGATACGAGAAATTACAACTTCGTATCTCAGCAACCATGTCTATTCAAGATGAGATATTGAATATCTAGGGTTTAAATAGTATCCAGAGCATATTAGTGCAACCTAGCGTAATTATCGAATGTACTATACGAGAGATATCTTTTTAATGATCAAAACCAGCCCTGCCGGGCTAGCTCAATCGGTAGAGCGTGAGACTCTTAATCTCAAGGTTGCGGGTTCGACCCCCGCGTTCGGCTATTTTTACAAATAACCTGAGATACTTCTTTTCAGTCGCGCCGGTTCCGCCGGCCGGCCCAGGGACCGCCCATCAGTGAAGTAAAAACTGGGGCGAAGGCGCCAGGATTCAGTATCTTGGCTGGCTGACGCGACCAGGGATACGGGCAGAGGGATCAATCCTGATCAAGTTCACCAGTCCAGTCGTCGCCAACCGCGCTATCATCACTGGCGTCGTCTGGGGGAAGCAAATCCACAATGCTGTGCGCTTCTGCCGCGAGGGGCGGACGAAACTGTGCAGAAAATGCCAAAAACCGGGGCATATCCAGTCACACTGTTCCAACGTCTTCAAATGTGGCCACTGTGCCGATGGGCACCCGACCTGGGAGTGCCCTTCGACACGCGGGCAGGCGATACTAGTCAAATGCGCCAACTGCGGCGGTGGACATCGCCCGGTCAGTCGGGACTGCCGGCGAAGATTGCGGCGATGAAAGAGTCAAAACAGGCATTGGCCGACTGCCCTACCTATCACCGTATCCCATTGCACTTCCGTAACGCTGATAACGGGGACAAAGCGACGCCTCAGATCAGGTTGGATCCGGTAGCAAGGGACGGCCTCGATGCATCTATACATGCACCGGACGAGCCGCAAGAGGCGGAACCCCCTCAACACCACCCACAGGCCATAATCGATCAAGAACTCGAACCAGCAAGGACGCAGACATCACTACAAGAGCTGGTCGAGCCAACGAGGCCCAAAAGGGGCCCTGGTCGCCCGAAGGGTTCTAGGACTAGACCTAAGGATCAAGCACCACCCGTCTACGATGGTATCTGCAAGTCAACGGTCCACAAGATCTCAGACTGCTTCTCAGAGAGTCGAACATGACAACATTGTGTCTAAAAATTGCCTCATGGGAGAGCCGGAGGACACTATGGACGAGCAGCCGGACAACAGCAATTGGTTCGACATCCATCTCCCGCAGGACGCCCTCCCACAGGACACCCTCCCGCAGGACGTCCTCCCCCGGGATAACCTTCAACAGGATGACCTCGAAGACGAGTTCACCCGGTTCACCAATGATGTTACAACGATTAACGACAACGACATCACGCCAGAGCCCGGCCTGGGTGATCTAGATCCAGAAAGCCCGGAATACCGAAAACTCATTACTCTCAAATATAACCGACCCCAAACAGTGCTAGTCAGATCCTCTCCTCCCGCGATTACGGCTGACGCACCCACAATTGAAGACCCAAATGACGAAATATGGCACGAGACCAGCGAGCGGAGTGATGACGAACAACTTCACCAATGAAACAGTTTGAAATACTTCAATATAACGCACACAAAGCATGGCCAGTGATGGCCACGTTTCTCAGGGACAAAAAAGTTCTGGCGACGGATGTGATTGCGGTGCAGGAACCGTGGAAGAATGAAGGACAGACACGACCCATCAACCAGCAACTGCAACATTCCAGCTACTCTATCCTGCGAAGCAGACCCCGAGGGGACGGGACCAAGGCCAGGGCCAGGGTCAGGAACAGGATCCAGAACCTCTCCAACCCGGTGTATGCCTCTTCGTGTCGAAAACGATCGACCCTGCCACTTGGTCGTGCCGGGTCATCTCGCAGGACTACCAGCTACTGAAGCTCAGAAGGGCTCACGTAGGCAAGGACTGGACAGACCTTTTTATACACAACGTGTATAATAGGCCTGGCGGCAACACCCTAGCTCAGCTAAGAGATGAATTGGCTAAGCGCTTTCTGGCAGAACACGTGGTAGTGGGAGACATGAATGCACACCACCCAGTATGGGGAGGAGCTGGCACCAAGGTTGACGATGAAGCCGAACAACTGCTATAGATCATAGATGAACATGATCTTGAGCTGATAATCGAGGAAGGAAAAGCCACTTGGACCCGAAACGATCAGTCTTCGGTTATTGACCTCACCTTTATTAGTTTAAGCCTTGCTGGTAGGCTAATCCACTGTGAGCGAGCGGACGACGTTGAACATTCGTCCGACCATTTCCCTGTCAGAACGGTGCTTGACATTGAAACACCAACACGCGTCCAGGAGAAACGGAGGAACTGGAATGCCACTGACTATAATAAGCTCATTCATGAAATCGAAGAAGGGCTGCAAGCGAGAGACCTATCCCAAGCAGATCCGACGCAAATCGAGCGCCAATGCCAGGAGCTACTGGATGTCGTTCAATCGGCCATTGACTCCTCAACCCCCTGGGCGAACCCAACGGCATGGTCAAACCCGGATTTCGATGACGAATGCAAGGCTGCCGTCAAGGAAGTCCGTCGCCTACGCCGCAGGCACACAAAGACAAAAGACCTCTGCGACTGGATGCGATACTCCGAGGCACACAACAAAAAGACACGCCTCGTCAAAAAAACACTATCCAGAGCGCACCGGCGCCGAGTCCAACAGGTCATCGAAGATGGCCCGCAGGGTATGTGGCGTCTTGCTAAATGGGCAAGAAACCGCAGCGGAGCGTATGAGAAAGGTCTTACCCCCTCGTTAAAGGTCCAAGATCCTGAAAGACCAGGCGAGCTTGCAGAAACGGTCGACCAGAAAGCAGAAGCCTTCCGGATGGCCTTTTCCCCGCAACTGCCGCCGGCCGATCTCTCCGACACTACTTCTTTCCAGTACCCAGAACCGATCGAATTTCCACCCATTACTGCACAAGAAATACAAGAAGCAGTAAGAGGGGCGAAGGCAGGAAAAGCGCCAGGAGAAGATGGCATCCCGAACTCCCTCTGGCACAAGCTGATCGAGGTACCCGTTATCCTGCAAGTGCTCAGTCAGCTATTTAATGCATATATACGCACTAGTTACAACCCGACGCATTTCTAGCAATCAATCACGGTGGTTCTCCGAAAACAAGGCAAAAGCGACTATCAACTAGCAAAGTCCTATAGGCCAGTTGCGCTCCTTAACACCCTGGGCAACTTCCTCGAAGCAATAATTGCACGAAGAATCAGCTACACTATAGAGACCGAGGGACTACTTCTGAAGAGTCATCTTAGTAGTCGGCGAGGCATCTCTACGGACCATGCCATACACATCATCATTGATCGAATCAAGCTGGCATAGGGAAAGGGTAAGCTAGTGGTGTCCTTGCTGATGCTGGAGGTGTCCGGAGCATATGATAATGTATCCCACGACCGATTACTCTATAACCTCAGAAAACGGCGACTGGGCTAACTCGTGCCTTGGGTGAAGGCCTTTCTGTCGAACCGAAGCACGACAATCCGTATGCCCGAGAGCATGTCGGACCCCTTCCCGACACCAACGGGCATTCCCCAAGGATCACCAATTTCGCCCATCCTCTACCTGATCTATAACGCAGATCTTATCAAAATCCGCGGGAATGGAGTGACCAGCAACGGCTGGGTGGATGATGTCTGCTTCATAGCCAAGGGAGACAGTGAGCGTGAGACCATCATGAAACTCAGGTCGGCTTACCAAAAGGCGGACCAATGGGCCAGAACGTATGCCTCCGTATTCGATCCAAAGAAGTATGCGCTTATACACTTCGTGAACACCCAAGAGGTCGACCCGCAATACACGCCGCTGTCTCTCTAAGGGCATATAGTGGCCGCGACCCGGACGGCTGAACGTTATTTGGGCTACTGGCTAGACCCTGAGCTAGAATTCCATCACTACCGCGAAAAGGCGATTGCAAAGGCAGACGTGTCTCTCCAAGCTTTACGGAGCCTAGCAGCTTCAACGTGGGGAGCCTCCCTTTCAGCTATACGCAGGATCTACTAAGCAGTAGTTATCCCCTAAATGCTCTTCGGGGTATCGGCCTGGTACCAACCAATGGTGATTAGCAAGACGAGGGCACGCACAATCAGTCAACCGTTCGTGGCTATCCAGAAGCGGGCAGCGTGCCTGATCAGTGGAGCGTTCAGAACGACGGCAGCGGAGGCTTTGAATACCGAACTATACCTACCACCGATTGCGATTCATATAAAACGCCTCGTGAAAGAAAGGGCTCTACGACTACGAACAGGACCCGCATTCGCTGCCCCCCCAACAATGCTAAGACGCCGACCGGTGGACGAGAGAGATTGGTCTGGATGGACACCGATGGAGGCACAAGCCTGGGAAGCGGGCGGATGCCTCACGGCTCCCCCGGGAACTTTGGCGAGACTCTGGGAGAGTCGAAAAGCATTCGTCCAGGCACCATGGCAAGCGCCGCCAGAAGTGATCATCGAGGACAGAGAGATCGCAGTGAACAGCCACGATCAAATTCTAGCCAAAGACCAAAGAGAAAGACCCTTGATTCTCTACACCGATGGGAGTGGAATAGAAGGAAGAGTCGGAGCAGCAGCAGTTGTTCATCTCGAGGATCACCATGCCCATAGCCAAATGGGCAACGAAGACACGTCTACCGTGTATGCTGCCGAGCTTCGCGCCATCGAGATGGCACTCACACTGGTCTTGGAGAGCACGGACCGAGGGGAACACAGGCGAAAAATGGGCTTGTTATCTTCGCAGACAGCCAAGCGGCATTGAAGCGCTCCGCCAACCGCGGATGCCGTCGGGACAGGTCTAACTGGCAGAGTGCCTCGACCTGATCCAGCGACTCGCGCGGCCAAAGGCATCCGAACAGAGCTCAGATGGATACCTGCTCATCAGGGAGTGGTCGGCAATGAACTTGTCGACCGACACGCAAAGGAGGCGGCCCAGGAACTGGAAGAACCACAGAACCCAAATAATCGGTATATCCGTCTCGGAGCTGCGGCTAAACGCCGTATTCGCCGCGAGGCGAAAATCGAATGGGAAAGATCGTGGGTCACGGAGAAAACGAGTCGACCGACGAAACGCTTGGTCGAACTACCAACCAAGAAGAACCTAGAATACTGGTCTGGCCTGCGGAAAGCAACGGCGTCGATTCTGATACAGCTTCGCACAGGGCGAATTGGCCTGGCTGCTTACTTGAGTCGCATCAACCGGCGCGAGTCAGCGCGATGCGATTGCGATCTGGGAAATCAAACGGTCAATCACATCTTGCTCGAGTGCCCGCTGCTCCAGGACGAGCGCAACTGGATGAGAAACGTCCTGTCCGATCGCGGAGTCGCTCTTCGACGCGAAGAGCTCCTAACGCCGCCAGAGGCTCGCACAGTTGTGGCTGAATTCATGATCCGAACGGGTCTCTTGAGCCAGTTTCAGGCAGTCGACCCAATGGCTCTCGGCATGGAACAGGGCGACGAAAACGAATGACCCCTAGGACAGTGTGACGGAAGGAGAAGGATGGCGCCCGTTAGGAGTGCAGTGCCAGGTCCACTGTACTCCCTTGATGCAAGCGAGCACAAGAGCGGCAGCCGACAGCTTGGATGGCTGCGTAGAAGAAGGTATGAGGAAGGAAGGTGCGAGGAAGATGGGTGCATCGTGAAGGACACCCTGGGTTGTTGGAGGGACCAGGGGCAGTGTCGTTCGTTTTGAATTTCCCATTTGTTGTGTGTCATGTTTGCATATCTGCGTTTTCTTTTGTTTACATACATTCGAGGGCGACCAGTCAGGAGCTCGCACTGCGAGCCCCATGAAACAGTCGCTCGGTGGGCTGGCGACCACCTTAAAGCTGTCGGCAGGCCCGACAGCACTCCCGCATAGCAGCATGTATTTAGAGCGAGCTACATCGGGCAAATGAATTTATCATTATCATCATTTAACGCTCAAATGTCTTGAAATAGGTATATCCAAAATTTGGAATAAAAAGAAGCTGGTTGTTGAAATATTGGATATGGAAATATGGCGTGTAATATAGTGTTTTGGGGTGGACGGCTCGATTGGGAAATACGTTAACTGGTCAACCGCAGAGACTGACTAAGCAGACCGCTCTCTTGTCATAGACCTGGGCAATACGGAAATACCACTTCCTCCGTGCCGAATTCATTACATTCGCCTGTACTCCAGGTCGACGAGCTTCAATGAGTCTCTCTCTCTTTTTCCCCCTCACTCCAAATAGCAAAGGCAGTGACCTCTCCCAGTTCATCTTGCAACAGCCACAGTGCTTCTGTTGTTCACTCTTAGTACTGTCGCTCTAATCAACTACGCCGCCGCATCCCATCTTCGCCTCCGCAGAAGCAACAAACCCGTGGGGCACCACCCTTCCACCCCCACAACGGGTTGCAAAAGTTTGCGGGGGTGGCAAAAAATTAAATTTCTGAGTAAGACGGACCTTTATCAGGAGTAGAGGAGTCCCTTGGCTTTGGACATTTTTCACTGATCGCCATCCACATGCGCTCTACACGGCGTGGCCACGATGTTCAGGTCACCCACAAGATCATGACGA